TCTATAAACTGCAGTACAGTATCTTAATGTCGTTGCTAACAATGTCTGGCTTGTGCTGCGCGAAGTAGAGGTTACAGCGAGTGAGTTAGCGAACTTGTACCGCAGCTAACGCACACGTCCGATATAATGACGGAGAGTAGATTCCCAATACCGCCGGTTATTGAGTATTATTTTGTTAGGAGCAAACACGACAGAACAGAATCTCTAGCCCGCATTTTTAACCCGAATGCGGCCTACCCAATGAAGACGAGACTGGAAGCCACATCACTACAGAGAATCAGAACGTCCCGCACACCCCGGCGTGATGAGGCTGACGCAGTTGGATCTACCAGGACGTCCAAAAGGCCTCGACTTCCCGGTCGACGGCATAATTCGACCCTCAAGACCGGAGTGAGAATCAAGTGTCAATGGATACCCCGCAAGGCGGCAGTCTCACTGAGCTGCATCATGACGGTGGCAAATAATGAGTCGAAAGAAAAGTGTCAAGCCCTCACCGCACCAATCAAAACCCCAAGCTGTGTTCATAGCAGCTGTTAATTATAGTACGCATGCGGATGACCGCTTCGAACTGTAAATACCGTGCAATCTGTGCATGTATCACTACAATCTGTCTCAGACTATCCTACTGTTACCTATGATTAAGAATTCCCGGTAGAATCCGAAAGGTTCCAGTGATCGCATCTTCTTCGTCTTCTGAAATGCTTCCTGGAACTCGCATATTCGCTTATATCGGCAGTCAGGTGTCAATAGATCCCTCACAAGGCGGCAGTCTTACCGAGCTGCCATCATGATGGTCTGGTACATGAACTGGAGAATAGGTTTCGCGTAGCGCGTTCGCGAAGACGGTCCGTATAACTTTGGCCCACACCTCCAGTCATTATGGCATGGACGAAAGGGGGAAGGATAAAAAGCGGCAGACACTGCACTGCTGCGGAGAACATGCTCGTTTTGAATGGTCAAACGGCAAGTCGACTGCATTGTTAAGCATAGGCCTGACGAGACATTATCGAAAACAAACGTATGTTCGCCAATTTATCTTCCGAAATATAGGTCCGTAAACGCTGGACAGTTATACTGAGAAAAAAATTGCCGATGCAACTAAGGCACACCTTTTATCCACACACGGCAGTAAGACGGTCTCATTGTTGGTTTTGAATAGTCGAACAGCAAGTTGACTGCATTGCTAAATAAAGGCCTGACGAGAATTTATCGAAAAAGAAACGTATGCTCGTCAATTTATTTTCTGAAATATGGGTCCTTAAAGACGGGGCTCATTCGACGAGACCTCGGCCCCAAGCATTTCAGTTCGAAGAGGCTGAAATTCTCGCGATAATCACGTGAGCCATACTGCACAGTCTTATGATTTATTAACTAGTGCAGCCGTCTGGGATGACCAGGCAACCCTATTTATGGGTATAAATGATTACACTCCCGTGGGAAAAAGGTCATAAAGGTACCATAAAAAGAACTGGGATCATGGCATCTGCCGGCTGACTGTGGTTCGCGGATGTAAAACCTGCTGTCAAAACAAACAACAATTACCGTCTCCATCCCCCCAGTTTGGATTCCGGCGGGGATTCCTGATCCAGCTATGGGCTACGACACACACACACACACCTGGGATGGCGTAAGTATGGCCGATGACGGCTACGAACTTGTAAATGGTCCCAACTGGGTATCTAGAATCGGCCATTCCAAGAGATATGCTGTGTGGTAAACATTACAGAAGAGGATCTGAAGCAGAAGTCTGTTGAAAGGGTAGAGATGTCAGCCGGAACGTGTACAAAAACCACAGTAAGTTTGAGGGTAAAGCCTGGGAAAAAGCTAGTCTTCAGACAGAGTAGACGCGTCCCATTTGCCGTAAAAACGGTGGTCGAGGAAGAACTACAGCGCCTGCAGCAGAAAGGCATTATCTGTCCCATAAATTATTCAGCAAATAAACGTGACGACAGGATAAGATTGTGTGCAGACTACTCGAGCGGGCTAAATGACGCGTAAGAAGACTATCATTGCCGTTTGCCACCCTTAATGGAGGGGCAGTTTTCGCAAGAATTAATCTTTCCGAGGCATACCAACAGATACTAGTTGATGAATCAGCGCAGGAAATGCTGACCATTAACACATATAAGGGGTTGTTCAAATAT